AATACACATCAGTTAGTACTCAGAACATTTACCCAATGCAGGCTGAATCTCTGGAATTCTTGTTTTTTTCAATTACTACATCACAGTGAGCAGCGTAAAACAGTAAAAGCTCATAGAAAAATGTAACGCTCTTAGTTGGGACTTGCAGGAACAAAACAGCGATTTGCTGTGTCCTTCACCTAGAGCTGTACTCCGTGCTGTGCTGCCAGGAAGAAATGTACAGATCTTTAAATAAAAGTAAATAATAGATAATGTCTTGGTAGTCCTATAAATGGATGCCTGTCCTGGTTTATGACTTTAAATTGAATTTCTTGCACTCTACTCACTGCAACTAATTGCTGTGTAGAAAAGACTCATGCCTCAGACCCAGCTTGTCTCAAAGTCACTTACTTCCGTGGTTAATTTTTGAATAATTATTTGTTCCTGTAATGCAATCTGCAGTGAATTTTTATGTCATCTTTCAGTACTGTTCAGTGAAAACCTCCACTTTGTTCCTGTATATGCGTGAATGATGGGGGAACAAATTACATTTCTCACTGAGATTGACTCCTGTGGAGTTATTTGGCTAGGTACCAACTTGAGGCCCTAAATATTTGTTGGAGGTGAATTCTATTTAGATTTGCAATTCCTGAACTTAATTTTGTTGCAATTTTAGAAAACATTACTCATTTTAAATTAATATATGTATTCTACCCAGTCATAAATGTTACTGCAAAATAATAATGAAATGTTGGCATAAAGCATTGTGATTAGCTTTAAAATTATAATTGTTTTCTTCCTTTTTAGCTTACATTAATTTTTAAAATTTGTTTTCTGGTTATTAAGAGTATGGAGATTACATTCAAGTCTTTTCCTCAGCCATAATTCTAAAGTATTTTATTGCTTTTTGGTTTAAAGCTGAGATTTTTACTAATTCCTATGACTGCAATAGATAGGGTGTGAAATGGAATACCAGATAACTGCAGGATTTCTGGCAAAGGCCACAACAGTTAAATGTGTGTGACATCGAGAAAACTTTGATATACAAAAATAGGAGGCACGATGAAAAGTGAGAAGCTTTATTCTACTTTATCCAAACCGGATTACAAGAAGGGCATGTGGGAAGACCAAGGAAACTACTGACCTGTTAGTCTAACCTCAGTACCTGGGAAAATTATGGAGAAGATCATACTAAAGGACAAGGCAATCATCAGGTTTCTGCTGGCAGCTCATTCACTAACTGTTATACACCTGATCCCCATTTTTTACTTCCACCTGGTGTCAAACTAAATACTGAATGCAAAACCAGGTTTTGCCTTTGTTACAAAATTATGTTGTTTCAGTCGAACAGATGAGGCCTGTGTATCTGCTGTAGTTGATCAAATGATAGTGGTATCTTCCCAGGATTCAGCTACTGAACTGATAAAGGAGTGAGATTAAAAAAAAATTACTTTTTTAAATTAAAAAGCTGAGGATATTCTTAGCAAACAGAGACATTTGAGCTGATAGTCTACCACAATATTGGAACAGGGTTATCTCTTGATGTGCATCCTGTTTTGGTTTTGTCCAGTCTTGGCTTCTGTGTTAAGGTGAATGGCCCTTCTTCATCAGCAAGGTCAGATGGAGCTGCAGTGTTGGGGTGTAGAGGGTCGGGGCACATCTCATGACTTTGTGTGCGCTGCGCAAGGTCACACAAAGTAGACTGAGAGAGGGTTGCCATCGCCTCTGTTGTTTCTGTTTCTTCCTCCCCTGGGTAAGAGATGTTTTCATTACTCGCAGCCAATTCAATCAAATGTATCTCAGTGTTGGAAAAAGCTACTTGTTTAATATTTATTTTGGTTTTGGGTCTGAATTCCATCTTTTTTCTTTTCTTTTTTTTTTTTTTTTTTTGTCTTTCAAAGCACCAGTTTCATTCTTTCAAAATATTTGTAATTTTTCTAAAATGTTAGCCAGGCTTAGTAAATTTTAACCACATGGAGAACGTTGAATTCTTTTAATATCTCTTATGAACTACCCCTTCAATGCTTTCCTCTTTTTCCCTTGTTGTCTTGAAAGCATTAGATGTCAATGCAACGTAGTGTTAATTTCAGTGCTATTAAAAAGTTCAGGTATAGCACAGATCTTGAAGTCTTACTGTGACAAAGAGAAAAATATTGATTTTTTTTTTTCTAAACTTTTGTGGTCTGGGATTCCATATATCACAGTTCTTGTCCTCCAGAGAAAAATGTAGTTTGTGTTATGTCAGTGGAACTCAATAACAAAAGGTGAGTAAAGATGAAATGACTCCTGTCAAGATGTGTAATTAAGAATCTCCAATTTTCTTCTGTGTAGAGAAGAAAAACGATTTGCTATAATTTAAAGGCAACTTTTGTGGTTTTGTCTGATTGCTAATATTTGATTTATTCTTGACTGACATCACTATGGTCCTAATTTAATAACTGAGCATTAATTCTATGCCAGTTAAAGACAAGACTTTTCGTCTCAAAGCAAGCAATCCTGCATTCATGGCCAGTTATCTTCAGATCCGCTCCATAGAGCCATCTGTCATAAATACCAGCATGAGAAAAGCTGAGCATCTTTCTTATTTTAGGCAATAGGCAAAAATATGAGGAAGTGTAAACAAATGCTGTAAATCATGACAGTGCACACCATAAGGAGCTGCCGGCCACAGGACACAGCCACAGGGGCGAGCGGGCAGAGCTGGCAGCCAGACTTACCTGGGAGCCCGGTGGCTAAAGCAGCGAAGGGCCCTGAGCTAGGCGGGTTTGAACATCCAATTTGGGTTTTCTAGGCAACACCGCACCTGTAGGACTGTAGGTTGTTCTCAACAAAAGTATGTCTCACCTGCTGTCTCTTCAAAATAGAGACCTCTTGTCCTTCATTGCCATCAGAGATAGAACAAGAATAACACAACCTTGCTGTAGAGCGCTCAGCTGGGAAGGGAGAGATTTCTTGTTCCCAAGACTGTTTTCTGTTAGTCCATGGTGGTCTAATCTAAAATGCAGAAATAGACCTATATCACCTTACTGGGGCCTAAATTTCAAATATAAAATCTGGATTTTTGCCTTAGGTACCTACATGAGCTAAATGTTTTTGATAGCAAGAAGCTCTTTAGTCAAGCAGATAAAAGCATGGAAAGAGGCAGTGCTAAGAAGGTGAAGATAAATAAGAGTGGGCTGGAAGCAAGAAGAGAGTGGTAGATTCTTTGTTCTTGTGTCTGTAATTCAGAACCTGCTGGTTTTTTTCTATATTGAGATACATCTTTAGTGCAGAAATTATGGCCAAGGGCTTTCAAGAGCTATGTTATGTAGGAAATCAGATTAGATGGGGGATGTTCAGAAAGTCTCCACTGCCTCTAAAATAGTCTAGCCTTAAAATAGGTTTAAAGTTAGAATCTTAAACTATATAATGCAGTTGAATTTAGTGGAGCTGTGTCATTTTACAGCTGTAAGTGTATCTACTTTTTGGGTCTGACTTCCCAGTAGTATACAGAAAATACTTTTGTAGGCTCTTGTAACAAGAAAGATGTTTCTTCATCAAAAGTTGTCTTCTCCTCACACCCTTTTGCCTTCTCTTCCCCTGAGAAATATAGCATGCTCCTGGGTCCTTTGCCATGCCCAGCTCTGCACAAAGTGACTGCAAATTGTTGTCAGGATGGCAGGAATAGCTGCACCTGCATCCAGCTAACTAGGAAATGAGTTGCTGGATTGTAGGTGAAAGAGAAGCCAAATGCTGTGCCTGGGGACAATATCCTCCTGTGCCCTGTGCGGGTATTTATGTCCGCTGTTTTGCTGGGGTACAGGATAGACAACTGCTATCCCCAGGCGAGTCTCTGACTCACCTCAGTTCCACACCTGGGAAGGAACTACAGGAGAAGCTGACAGTTAAATGGGGAAAAAATGGATTACAGCTGTGGATTCCTCTGAAGGTTACCCTTTCTGTTAACAGATTTGCTGAAAGTAGGTACCACTCAAAACCAGAGAGTTTTGGCAGGGTATATCTCAGTGCTACTGTATAGTTGGATATTACTAATGGCAAGGATCAAGGGGAAAAAAATCCTGGAGAAAGCTGGACTGATATAGATCTATGCAGGTTTTTCATCTTACAGGACCAAAAGAAGGGACCTGGATACCATGGGACAATATGGTGTTAAATTTCTTCCAAGAAGTTCTTTCTGTCATAAATCCTAGGAAGTGGTATCCAGTGTTTTGTCACCAAGAACTGTAAGGAAGCTGCAAGAACAAAAAATAGGAAATAACAAAAAAACCCCATTGAGTCATGACTAGGAACCTGCCATGCAAATCCATAAAGATTTGTAGAGGGGATTGGGACATCAAACCTTGAAAAAGAGAGTGGAAATGTCCTGCAACCCAGATTTTTGAATCTTCCACTGGAAGGTAGAGCTGGTCTCTGACACCTACGGCTCAATATTAACCTAAATCACTTTTTAACTTATGTGATGTATATGTAAATAAAGTTACAACCTGCCATATCACAGTCATGCCAAGGGTTGTCTGTTGTTTCCGCATATGAGTGGTCAGAACTGAAGCTCCATCTAGCTGATGGGGTGGAAGTGCAAATTCATTTTGGGGCTCCTAATCTTGAGTATAAAGCTTTTTGAATGTATAAAAGTCAATGCAATATTTGAAAATGCTTATGGATGTTAAAAATTGAAAATTTCTTAGTAAGGGAATCTTTCTACATTTTACTAGTTCATGTAGAAAATGGATTTCCCCTGGGTAATACTAAAACAGCTAAATCTGAAAACCTGCCTAGAAGAGGAATAGTTCTCAAGTATGAAAATCTCCCAGTATAAGACAGATACGAGTTAAACAAAATTATACATGGTGGACAGAGCAACCAGGTCCAGTGAGGATTTAAGCATAGAAAATAATGGAAATAGTTTTCACTGTTGCTTCTAATGATGTAATAACCAGAAAAGCATATTGTTTCTTGGGGTTTAAAATGGATACCCCACAAAATAATGAAAGTAAGCATTTAAATTTCTTGGTTCATTGCAGGCATTGTGTCCTTGATCTCCCTGGCTGTCCTGTCCTATGAACGCTACAGCACTCTCACCCTGTGCAACAAGCGCAGCGCTGACTACCGGAAGGCATTGCTGGCAGTCAGCGGTTCATGGATTTATTCCCTGCTCTGGACCGTGCCACCTCTGATCGGTTGGAGCAGTTACGGGGTAGAAGGTGCAGGTACAAGCTGTTCAGTACGCTGGTCCTCTGAGTCAGCTGAGTCCACCTCCTATATCATCTGTCTCTTCATATTCTGCTTGGTCATCCCTGTGATGGTCATGATGTACTGCTACGGTCGCCTTCTCTATGCTGTTAAACAGGTAAGCTGCTGTGTGCTATCGATAGTGCAAACTGCTCTGAGACATATATTGCATTTCTCTTCTATCAAGTTTGGAAGCACTGATGACAGACAGCAAAACAACAAAGCAAAATGAAATTAAAAAGACCACAGAAAGCCTCAAGGAAGGGGTGGGAGGTCTTCACCAAGCTTTTTCATACTCCTGAAGCTCCAGTTGGAACAACCAGATAACATCCATATAGATACTGACTTTGTGGTTTGGAAATACTGTGTTCTAGGAAGAACAGCATTATATGGGTGAAGGTTGCATTTGTAGTGGAGTCAACACTTACCTGTCTATAAATAAGACATCCATGCAAACATTTCTTCCTGGTTTTGGATCATGATATTTTAATAATTTCTGCTTCTTAATCTGTGGAGACCTACCTCTACTATAATGCAATTCTACTGCAATTTGCAGATTTATCCCAGGTATCAGCTACTCCTTGTAATTGTAGGCCACATTTGAAAGTGTCCTTAAATACTATTACCAGCACTATTACTACGACTGCTGCAACGCTGACACTCCCTCTGACTGGTCTAAGGCATACTGCAGCTATTCCAAAAGACCCTGCCAGGGGGTGTGGTATTGTGAAGTATGAATACTCTTGGGAGACTAATGAAATGGTTTAATGATGAATAATGAGAAAGGAATTAGTATATAGGTGTTCTCTAAAAAGCAATTCTCTAAAGTGTTCAGATGAATTAACTAAAGGTGTTAAATGGGGAAAAAAAGCAGTAAATCCCTGAATAGAGGCTCTCATACAAAATGTAGTTTACTTCTGATTAGTCATAAGGAATTAAGGCTGTGCCTTTTACATGATTTGTCAAAACTTTCAGAACACTTGAAGCCCAAATGGGAAATCTTTTCCTGGTTGAGTGCTGAGCGGGCCAGTAAAATCCCTTTGATGAATCACACATTAGTACTCCTTATAATGCTGTGCACTAGTAATATGGAAAAAATTTCTCTTGATTGTAAACCATAAAAGTGAAGTTGCAGACTATATCTGGTCCCTGGGCAGCAGTATCCTTTACCATCACCTTAAAGAAAGGAGCAGGATCTTGGAGCAGGTACTACTACTAATATGCAGAAGATAGATACAACTTTCTTAAACTTTTGCCTTTTCTTTCCTTCAGCTCTCACTGTCATTCCTGACAACAGACATGACCTACAACATACAAATACTTGTATGGATGAAGCTTCTGTAGCATGTGCTTTAGCTTCCAGTTGTAAATGTGGAGTTGTGTTATTTTATTTAACTTTTTTTTTTTTGAAGTTCAGCTGTATTAAAAGTAGATCTTACTGATCGGCCTGATGGGGCTCAAGAAGTTGTGACAAACATGCTGAGGGAACAAAGTATCATAGAAAAGATATGTGCAATCTATTGCCATTTTGTACTTAGACATGAAGACAGGCTAGACTGGGTGGAAGACTAGGTTGATTGATTAATTGACTGTCCAGAGAAAAAAAATGGGCGTAGGAATAGCATTTTCCACAATGCTCTCTCCTCCACCCTCCGTGTGCTTTTGAGAATGATCAGGAAGCCTCTGGGATGCTGGGGTTAGAGCGCGCTGAGAAATTTTAGTAACTGGTGAAAGTGAAAAAGAATTGAACCTGATCTTGCATAACATGTTGGAGGGCAGGTGTTAGGGAACTAATGCTTATTAAATGCAAAGGAACTCCAGTGAGGATTAGATCATACCTCCTCTCTAAAGTTGTTATGACTCAGGGTCATAACAGCTGCCTGAGTATTTGTGAAATCTTGAATAGCTAAACCCAGAAGTTTTACACAAAGCATCTAGTGCTTTCCTGCTGTTTGTAAAATATTTCCCTGATAAATTATATTTCAGAAAAAAGAATCTCAATCAGAAAAGTCATCAGTCTTCAGCTTTCTGTGCCGTATATACCCTCAGTACCATAATTCTGAAATCTTGCATTTTATACATTTCCTGTGACATATTTATAAATTTCCAAAGACCGTATCATGACAGTCACTGAAATACAGACTTTTTTCCCTTTGATCTAAGGTCCTCTTAACTATCCTGTAATAGATAAGGTAAACTATGAAGTGCTAAAGTGTGTCATGTTTCAAACTGGAGGAAGAGATGAGCCATATGCAAATAAAAGTATAGTAATTCTTAAATAAAACTATAAAGAGTAGGTAGGGTAATAAAAAAAAAGTTAAGAGAAGTTACCACATCCATTGTAATGCTGTTACTTTCTGGTGTGGGCAAAAAAATTCATTATTTTGCAATATTCTGGCCTCATAGATTAAAGTCCTTCTGTGACCCTCTGTGTAATATATTAGAAGAAATGTGGGAGCACTGCAAACATAGTAAACACATTATTCCAGCTTCAGCTGCTTGGTAAATTTTCTAAAATATGCATTTCATACTTTTGCAGGATACATAGAAGTTTTTATGTTAGAGCATTGTAGCGTTAATTGTGTTGCACCCTGAGATCAAGAGTGCAGAAGTTATGCTGTTATTAATACTGCAATGTAAATTAATTGAGTTGGAAGAAATATCTTAATAGATTTGGGATAGTTAATGCAAGAATTGGCACAGCGCCTGCATTTTCTCTTTGCAGGGACAGTAATTATAGGTCTGCTTTTCTCTTTTTCTTCTCTAAATTTAGTCAGGTGCTGCAGCATTCTGTCACTCAAGGCATTAATAGATCCTGTGAAGTCATCTGCAATCTGTGTAATGGTAAAAGGCACAAGGATTTCAGTAATACAGGTTTTATAAAAGATCATCTTTTCAAGGAATTACAAGTCAATAGCATCCCTGTATGAATAATGTTAACAGCAAATGCCATTAAACAGTACTACAACATGACTGTACTATTACCTCAGACCTCTTGCCATTTATCAAGCTCAAAGACCCTTAGGAATTGCTCAAGTTATTTTCTTTAAAGGTATGGCATTTTTTTCCAGAATGGCTTTACCTGTAGGGTTGAGTTTGGTTCTGCAGATGGCCTTTGCTGCCGTCCTTGTGCAACTCGCTTGCAGGAGCCGAGCTCAGCCCGGCCCGAGAGGTAGGGCGGGTTGAACGAGTCCCAGGGCAATGTTAGGTCTGAATCATGAGTGCATTTCCGAGGTGCTAAGCAAAATAATGCTCAAAATGGAGAGCCGAAGAAAACCTGGTGTTTCAGAAGCTGTTAAGGAACTTGGCAGTGCATCAGATGTTAAGACATAGAGAAACACAAATATTTTATTAGACTTTTCTTCCCTTTGAGTTCATATTTTCACTCGTGCTGATCTTGTTTCCTGTTTTTTGAAACCTGTTCTTCCATCCCTGCAGGTGCTGAAATTCAGTTTCTTTTTTAAGTTTTCCTTTAGAGATGATGCATCTGATGATACCTGTAAGTAGAAAGGGGCAAAATTTTCTCCCTCACAAAACATTATTCACATATATTTTATTCATGCACGTTCTACAGAACAAGGGAAGGAAACTGAGAATGGTTTATTTCTTATACTACAATTAGATTATTTTCTCTGTTTTTGGCTTATAATGCTTCTCTATGACTCTACCATTGTGTTCCCTCTGGAAAAATGTTCTTTATGAAGTCAGTGTCAGTTGTTTACACTTTGAAAAGTGAGCTCCCAAATGTGGAATTACAGAGATTAGCATTGCAGTCACTGTAGCGCAGAAGGCACAATATGATTAAAATCCTCCACTGAGGGGCCCAGAGAACTCATATGAACCAGCCTAATGAAAATTAGCAAAACTTTTAAAAAGAGACCTCGTCAGTCTGCATTATCTCCCACTTGCACATAAAAATACTGCCCAAGGACAAGAAGAATCCCAGAACATTGTTTCAAGATAAGGTTTCATATTGGTTTTGTGGAGACTCTCTTCTTGGCTCATCTCATTGCCAGTCTTCTTTCATCAAAAGCTGTGCCTGAGCAAAGCTCAGCAGCTCTTTATGGAATGTAGCTGGGACATGGAGAACAATAAAAAGGACTGTAAGCAGAGCACGAAGACTTAAACACATAGTGTAATACACATCTGACCATGCAATTCTTGCTCCGTGCAACAGACCGTGTGTTAATGTGGGCAAAGGGTCAGTGGTCACGCTGTCTCATGGGGTTCTGGAGTAGATGGACTTGTGACCTGATAGTACTACTGTATTGTTGGGGTTTTTTTCATTTTTACTTGAGAACAGTGAGGAAAAAATAGAGATGGAAAATGTTTATTATGTTCTTTTTATGTTGTTACCCTAGTTCTATTTTGTTTTTTGTCAAAAAAACAAGAAAAAATATTCAATGAAAATTTTAAGACTAGCCCTATGAGATGGAAGTTGGCCTTACCAGTATGCCTTGTCCTCCAGCACATAGTGCACCTACGAATGCTTAATTCCTCATAAACTGCTAGTTTAACTAGTGACCAAAATGTGGGGTCAGGTAGTGGAATTACCTGACTATTTGCCTTTACAGCAGCTTTTTTTTGTTTCTTTTGAAAAGTGCCACATGATTTCTGACTTCCATGTGTCACCCTTTTTTATCCCATCCTCTGAACCTTTCTGAGTCTTGTCACCTTGTAGGGGAAGGGGGATAGTCAGGGTTAAGCTGCAGAGAGCTGCCTGGTCCTCTCTCTTTTACTCCTCTTCCAGACTTCAAATTAGCAAATTTGGTGGAGGAAATGTGCTTCTATCTCTTATTTAAGAAGTAATGCCCCAGAGAGAAATTGTGAATCAATTATAAGCCTGAAGAAACTAATTTTGAATTCTGTACGATGAGATTTCGACTCTAGTATATTTTTAAATCACTGGATATAAACGACAGTGGTGGTTTTGAAATCTCCTGTGCCTGCAAAGAAAGTCTGCGAGAAAAAGGAAAGAAGAGATGTAGATTTTTATGACTTCTGATTCCTTAATCCTGCTTTATGTCTGTACTATTTGGAACAGTTAAAAATATCTGTGAAAGCAATTATTGCATCGTTGTTCATTAAAGTAGTCAGGAAAGGATTATAAAGTAGAAG